TATGAATTAATCCCTAATCCCTATGATCTCAGAATAAATACAAGATTTTTATTGTTTTAGCCACTGTGACCTTGACCCTTGACCTTTCGACCCCCAATGCGATAGGCCTATTTGGATTACCAAAAACAATCCACAAACCAAATTTGAAGTTCACATGTGAAGAATTTTTTCAAGTTATTGCGCTGACAAAATTTCTTTTGTTTTAGCCACTGTGACCTTGACCCTTGACCTTTTGGCCCCAAATGCAATAGGCTTCTTAGGATTGCCTAGCCTTGGTCAATGCTCTCGTCTTTATTCGTCCCGTACGGTCAATCGTCGGCATATATCCTCACGCGCTATGCACATGCATGTAAAAATACAGCGCGAACAGCGACCTCACGCGGCCACTATTTTTATGCAAATCAGTTGGAGACGATGTCAAGCCTTGGTTCAATCGTCGGCCAAAGCTTATGTTTTTCTTTACTTTGCGCTAGATTTCCAGCGCACGACCTCGTATGCGAATACAGATAATGTAGGCGGGGCTAATATGTGGAGTGTCCAATCACACCTTGGTAAATCCAGACGTCATCAAATTATTTGCAGCTATTCCGCCTTTTGCGGACGTGACAGGAACCACAGTTTTTGTGCATTGGTGCCGTGTGCAGAGACACACAATGTGTTCGTGTATGGATTATGTACGGTGCCACGTTTCACTATGCAAGTTTCCACGCAACGATCGACCAATAAGAAAACGACATTTAAGGTCAGCTAAGGCTATTAACATAATGAACACCACCCCCAAAACCTCACATGGACGATTGAACCAAGGCTCGACATCGTCTCCAACTGATTTGCATAAAAATAGTGGCCGCGTGAGGTCGCTGTTCGCGCTGTATTTTTACATGCATGTGCATAGCGCGTGAGGCCTGGATATATGCCGACGATTGACCGCGCACGGGACGAATAACGACGAGAGCATTGACCAAGGCTAAGGATTGCCAAGGACAATCCACAGACCAAATTTGAAGTTCATATGTAAAGTATTTCTCAAGTTATCGCGCTGACAAAATTTCTATTGTTTCAGCCACTGTGACCTTGACCCTTGACCTTTCAGCCCCAAATGCAATAGGCTTCTTAGGATTACCAAGAACAATACACAAACCAAATTTGAAGTTCATATGTAAAGTATTTCTCAAGTTATCGCGCTGACAAAATTTCTTTTGTTTTAGTCACTGTGACCTTGACCCTTCGGCTTCAAATGCAAAAGGGTTGTTAGGATTACCAAGAACAATACACAAACCAAATTTGAAGTTCATATGTAGAGTATTTCTCAAGTTATCGCGCTGACCAAATTTCTTTTGTTTTAGTCACTGTGACCTTGACCCTTGACCTTTCGGCCCCAAATGCAAAAGGGTTGTTAGGATTACCAAGAACAATACACAAACCAAATTTGAAGTTCATATGTAAAGTATTTCTCAAGTTATCGCGCTGACAAGATTTGTCCGGACACACACACCCACACAGTCGTTTTTATGCCCCGCGGCGAAGCCGAAGGGGCATACTGTTTCCGCCTTGTCCTTCCGTGGGTGGGTGGGTGGGTGGGTGGGTGGGTGGGTGTGTGTGTCCGGACAAATCTTGTCAGCGCGATAACTTGAGAAATACTTAACATATGAAGTTCAAATTTGGTTTGTGGATTGTCCTTGGTAATCCTAAGAAGCCTTTTGCATTTGGGGCCTAAAGGTCAAGGGTCAAGGTCACAGTGGCTGAAACAATAGAAATTTTGTCAGCACGATAACTTGAGAAATACTTAACATATGAACTTCAAATTTGGTTTGTGGATTGTCGTTGGTAATCCTAAGAAGCCTTTTGCATTTGGGGCCGAAAGGTCAAGGGTCAAGGTCACAGTGGCTGAAACAATAGAAATTTTGTCAGCGCGATAACTTGAGAAATACTTTACATATGAACTTCAAATTTGGTTTGTGGATTGTCCTTGGCAATTTTAAGAAGCCTTTTGCATTTGGGGCCAAAAGGTCAAGGGTCAAGGTCACAGTGGCTGAAACAATATAATTTTTTTCAGCGCGATAACTTGAGATATACTTTACATATGAACTTCAAATTTGGTTTGTGGATTGTCCTTGGCAATCCTAAGAAGCCTTTTGCATTTGGGGCCAAAAGGTCAAGGGTCAAGGTCACAGTGGCAAAAACAAAAGAAATTTTGTCAGCGTGATAACTTGAGATATACTTTACATATGAACTTCAAATTTGGTTTGTGGATTGTCCTTGGCAATCCTAAGGAGCCTATCGCATTGGGGGTCGAAAGGTCAAGGGTCAAGGTCACAGTGGCTAAAACAATAGAAATCTTGTATCTATTCTGAGATCATAGGGATTAGGGATTAATTCATATAAAACCTACAGAAGACACTAATGCTGTCAATGAACGTTCCATTTGACCAAGGTACATGTAAGTTGATGTTAGAGTGGTGTTATGTCATGGAAACAGTCACGGTTGCGGGGCATTTGTGTTTGTAAACACACCTGACTTGTTTGCTATGCTTCCGAGGATTGGCTTTGTGTTTTCCTTTGTCCCTGTAATATAACACTCTCCCATAGACTAAGCACACAAACCTGCGTTCGAGGACAATAGGCACCTTCCTTCGAGGATCAATGGCCCCTTTGTGCTCCTTTTGTTGTCTGTCCTCAGGCGTAATGCCATGCAGGAACACCCGCACAGTCTTTTTTTACTATACGCCTGAGGAAAACTATTGTGTTTTCCTTTGTCCCTCTAATATAACACTTTCCCATAGACTAAGCACATAACCGTACGATCGAGGACTGGTTTTAACAATAGGCACTGTCGTCCGAGGGTCAAAGGCTCCTTTGTGCTCCTTTTGTTGTCTGTCCTCGAGCGTAATACAATACAAGAGCACCCACACACACACACACCCACACACCCACCCACCCACCCACGGAAGGACAAGGCGGAAACAGTATGCCCCTTCGGCTTCGCTGCGGGGCATAATTATGAAAGTTTTTTTTTTAAAGGATACGCTCTGAGATTTTTTATCTTTGTCTCTCTCATGGCTGGGGAGAAAGGACTGAGTGTGTTGTCTTTCAACGTCGCACCTTGATCTGTCAACAAAGAGAAAGAAAAATCACAAATATTCTCAGTTAAATAGAAACTGATCCGGATAATCCAGTCAAATATGAAATAAATGGCTACATTGAGAACAAGCAAATGAACTATGAAGTTTGAGTAGGACCAAGTGCATCTAATAAATCAATAACCAAACATTTGAAATTCCCTTCGATCTGGGAGAGAGTTAGGGTGGCGTAGCAGTACTTTCACAGCTGTGACCCGGGTTCGAATCCTGCCTGAACATGCGGATTGGGTTTTCAGTCCCTACCTGATTCCGTGGGTCTCCCCCAGAATATTCTTCTGGGGTTTTCCTCCCACTTCTAAAACTGCAATTTCTTCTCACATTGTCTTCTCTCTATTTGTTTCTACAGGCTTGCCAGCTACAGTGTCTAGAGTGCTTTGGAGGAATCCTTGGTTTCAATACCAGAAATAAATAATAATACCTTAATGGTACCTTAGGGCATAGGGGAACATTCCTGTAGGGTTGTGCACATTTTTTTTCCAACTTTAATGACCCCAACCCCAATTTTCCCTTCCAGTGTTCTCCAACTGTCCAACATGTAAAACAAACCTGGCGCCCCGCCATGTTCAGTGATGTTTTCTGCGGCGCCCGCCATGTTTTAGAAGTCACCGCCAAGCTAAAAGAAATTAGAAATAAGAATGACCACTTCTTTTTCGAATAAAATTGAATGAATGACTTGCCGCTGAACCCTGGTCTCGGCCAAATTTGCGATGCGCGCGGATCGATGCAGTTAAGTCTGGTTCTGACTATTCCGTTCTCTTCTATCATCATATTATTCGGGGGATCGTCTGGTAACCAGATGCACCATTTTTCCATGTGCATGGAAAAATGTACGTACACAATGTACATGTATACGTAAACACGTGTACATGCTGCTGGGCGGATTGCAATAAGCAGACTGCACGTTGATCAGTAAGACCGTTGCAATTACACGGTCTAAGTGTTAAGACAGTCTTATAATAGTTAGCCTGGGATGGGCTGGCTTAAAACGGTCTATAGTTGGAATAAAATTATTGTTTTATCATCGTTTCATGTCCGATTTTTTTGTACTCTTGACTTTTTGCTTCCTAGAATGGCTTTTCAGTTGATAGTTATTAATGATTTACACAGAGGTGTTATCCACAATGTGTCTGGTGGTCATTGTCAGGTATGATTCCAAATACGATTATAAAATGTAAGACGTAATTTTTATATTTAAACACAAATTGCTATAGACTCTACATAATGGCTTAAAAACTTAACCATCATTAAAAGTAATTAGGCCTATGTAGGTTACTGCTGAGTCTTTTAAGCGAGTCAGTTAAAACATGGAGGAATAAATGGAATGTGTTTTTATTCCTCCATGGTTAAAAGGGAATCACTCCAGATATGGGAATAATTATGTGGATAAGTGATTGCTTAAAGTTAAGAGTCAGGGCACATTACGAAGAAACAAAAAAATACAAGCGTATTTTATTGTTGGTAATATGCTTATATAAGTCCGCGAAGTCCATTATACAGGTAGGCTAGGGGGGGGGGGGGGGCTTTAGCCCCCCCCCAAATTTTGTCTAGCCCCCCCAAAATAAATTACGTAAAAAAAAAATTTGTATTAGCAAAAAGAAGGATTGTGATGTACATGTGTACAGTATGCGAACGGTCTCCCCCTAAAGAAATAGTCGTGACAAGGGTGCATTTGTAGTTAATATAGTGTGAATGATTTCAGGTTTTTATTGGCGCTCCCCACCTATTGATTTTCGGAGGCCTAAGTGTCTGGAGAAAATAACCGGTCTACATTTCAGCACGCCTCCCTGAAAAATTCTGGATCCACCCTGCTAGCCCCCCCAAAATATTGGTTCTAGAACCGCGCCTGCCCAAGAGTACGAGGGCTCGCTGCCTGGCGTGCCCCTTCACCTCCGACCTGGGTCGACCAAGCTGGTGCGGGACCTGGGCTACGGGAAGGGGTACGTGCACAGCGCTGCGGCCGGCGATCAAGGCTTCCTGCCAGAGTGCATCAAGCACGTGGACTTCTTTGACAACGCTGATCTGTTTGTGTAAAGTTCCTCCTTTTTTAACTGTAACTCCATTTTCGTAAGCTTTCGTAAATCCTCCAAAACCCGACACTAGGCAGGAAACCAGTGGCACATTTCTCCGTCTTTAAACGTGCAAGGCGCATCATGTCCAGGGTAAAAAGTACCAAGTGGTACAACCCACCGCGGCCGGGTGACGTGTGAAGACTGCTTACGGCACTGTCCGTGCACCTGGGCTGTACAGGTACCTTGAGTACAGAAAAAGAAAATGTATGGGGCATGAACTAATATGCAAAAATATGCAAATTAGACGGATGTGCATCATTGTTTGCAAAGCTGGTCCTGGAATGCAAAGCTGTAATACTCGAGTTGTATGAATACAATATGTCGCCGACTAAAGTGTCCACCAACCAACCAACCAACATAAGCAGCTCAAGCCCACGGCGTGTTCGACACCCGCCGAGGGAAAAGTAAAAGTGGCTGGGTTTATTTTCCTATAATCTTTGCAAAGTCCTCTGAAAACGTCTGGTGGATTTTAAGGGATCTTGGAAGATTTGGGTTAAAAATAACTGAGCATTGATTTGTGATAAATGGTTTTTGTGAGGCACATCCAAGCAGTTTAACAGTACGTATGTCTAATCAGTGGACAGGAAAATCTTGGAAGGGGTTGGGTAGGTGTGTTCAAAGTCTCCCCTTATGACTGAAACAAGGGGCGGGGAACGGAATGTAATATCAGTTGAATATTCCAGGGCTTGAGCTTACGACACTTAGCTTTCAACCGTCCTTTCAAAGCTTTGTTTTACTCATTTTAAAAGAAAATGAAAGTTTGTATTGCTATGTAAGATAACACTGCATAAAAGTTCCAAGATTCGTAGTAGCATTAAATGGCATATTTTATTAAGAAAAAAATCACACTTGATATACATGTATATACGATATTCACTCGGAACATTAAGTTTGCGATATGTGATCTTTGTACAACAGTGACTGTTAAATTACAATATGAAACAATAGCATTTGGTTTCAACACATCTGAAATCAGCAAGGCATAAATACAATGTATTTCATTCATGAACATACTAATTAAAAACGCAAGTATGGAGTACCGAAGTGCGACGTCATTTAGAACCAGAAAGTGTAGTGCAAACGAATGGAGTACGCGCGCGTGTTGGTTCACGGGCTGAATCCACTGATCTCTATATAAAGACTGGATAGCTAATAAAGAGCCGCACAATGTACGAATTTGACGCCATATTGGTGAGACCGGCTGGTGATCTACAAAGGACAAGTTGTCGTTTTTATAGACAGCATGATTTCTTTTGTAACGTCGCGGTTCACTTGACTTATATTTTGACCACCATCACTGACCAAGGTTAACTACAATTTTTCTAACGTCGTGGTTACTAAAATGCCGCAAATATAACTTTTTCGGCGTTTTGAAATAATAATCACTACGGAAATGTGTTCCTTTTAGAACATCATAATATGTGTACGTGACCAAAATGCGCGTCAACTGTTGATACAACGCGCGCGTACTACGCGTAGAACGTTCGTATTATGCGCGGCCATCTTCGTGAGACCGGGGGCGAATTGGTCAATATGCAAAGTCTACTGTGTGAATGTTGTATGCATATCCGCTATCCAGTCTTTATATAGAGATCAGTGGCTGAATCACGCGCTAATGTCTTTCACACACATTTTGTGCGCGTTACGTATTCACTTCGGTACTCCATATGAGTATGCGTTAATTGTCTAGTTTTCTTTCCACATGATGAAACTGACATGCCTTTGGATTCATTACAGTAACCTCTGAAACTTATTCCGTCCAGAGAAAAACATTGCAAACAGTCTTCATTACAAAGGTTGTTTAGTACACAAACAAAAGTATACAAATTACGAATGTTTGATGAGTGCAATGGCAAGAATAATTTAAATAAGTGACAATTGGAACGTTCCATTCCACAAAGCGAAGTTGAGTAGAATGGAACATTCCATCTGTCGCCGAATGAAATTATTCTTTCCATTGCACGAATGTGAAACATTCATTGTTTGATACAACACCTGAATAAATCCTCGTCATCTGATTGGCCAGAGCCACTAATAGTGTGACCGTGCAATGGAACTTCTATTTACCGTGAAATAGAACAACTATTTTGGCGGTGCGGCCGGGCTGTGACGAATAATTAGATGACTTGATCAATGACCTACTAATCAGATGGCAGGGATTTATTCAGGCGTTGTATAAAAATGAATATGTCATAAGATGTTTTATTTAAAATTTAAATATGATGTACAATACAACCGTTAGTAACTTAAATGAAAATTTTATATTCAACATGATCCATATGATATGATTTTGTTTATTTTTGTAATTGAAGAAATGCAACTGAAATACAACTTTTATAATAAAAGAAAAATCAATGTTAGAATTGTAACTTTGCATTTAAATACGCACTGGCTTGAAGTTAGACAAAAATGCTGTACTTTTGACAGTACGAAATAAAATACTTGCAGCATCTGATCAGGAAAACGTTACCAACAAGGCTTTGTTCCATTCTGTAGTCTGTTTCCAATTAAGTATGATCTATAAAACTAAGGCCATGTTTATTATGGAATTCAAGTACATACAGCCGACAGTAAACATGGTCAAATGACATTTTTCCAAAGTTGAATACATTATTTTTATAAGCATTAGCACATTCACTAAGCATACGTCAAGGCAATACTGCGTGGACGGAAGATCAAGTTAAAAAAAAAAAAAAAAAAAAATTAAATCAATGGTAGCCATTTCGTGCTTTTACATATCAAGCAAAAAGCTTAAAGCTATAGTCCATCATTTGCAGCCATCCGAAAAAGTAACTGGCGTATTATTGTTGAAAAAAATACTTGGTTGAAAGATAGTAAGTGGACTAAACTCCCTGTGAAATTAATCTTTCTGGCAAGCTATCATTTTGAAGTAATCAACGAAAGAAGGTCTTTCCAACGGTGCGTCTTAAGACGCACCGTAGGAAAATTTAAATTAGGAGTTTGTTTTGTTATTCGGCGCAGCACGCGCAAGCATTGGCACGACGCACAGGCACGCGTGGTTGCTATAATTCGTCGGATCATTGCGCGACATCGCGTAAAGCTGCAATTCAAAACAATTCAAAACATGATTGAGCATCTTTTGATTTGTAATTGAGATCTTAGAATGTTTTCTCGGAATATACAGCTGAAGCTGAGCTGAAACTTCATCAGGTTAGTTGTTCAGTATCCTTCATTAGATTTTGAACACTTTTGTTGCTACAAACGAACACAATGCACAAATTACAAATGATGGACTATATCTTTAATATATCTCAAAGCTCAAATCAAAAAGAGAATAATCCAAAAACCAAATACTGTACATAGGAATAACAGGTGGAAATAAATCCCTGTTGGTAAAGAAATAATCAGTGATCATCAGTATCAGCAAAATTTGAATTATGAACAAAATAACGAATAGCAAAAATACACTATTTACAACTCCTGTTCTACTTAAAAAAAAAATTGCATTTAACGGAATGCATATTGCTTTATTCATACCAAAAATAAACAAATTTAGTATCAAATCACTGAATTTTTAAATTCTGCTTAGAATCAATGATGATAAATTTTGGGTAGGGGGTAATTTCAAAATGGCAGCTTTAAATAAAGTGAAGGAAGGAGCTACTTTTAAGTCAGGGAAGGCTGGGGAAGGTAACATGTCAAATCTCTTGCAGCACAGTTCATTGTGAATGACATATACAAATACTGACTGCTTCGAGTGGTGTAGTAAAAGTAGCCTCCCGAGGTGATCCATGGACATTCTATTTTCCCGAGGCGAAGCCGAGGGAAAATAGAATGCTCCATGGATCACCTCGGGAGGCTACTTTTACTTCACCATGAGATAAAGCAATCAATATTTGTTTTATAACACCTCTGCCACAGATTCTGCTTGAACTTAAGTGATAACTGATTAATTTAATCTGAATACAATTAAAATGTACTTCTATTTGAATACAAAATTTAATGAAATTGAATACAAAGTAGTTGAAAATTTACTAGCACTTTTTCAAACTACTCTTCGTAAAATGTTTGAACGTATGCATTTGCACACAATACTGGTTGCTATGCGTATTTGTACTTTGGTTGCTACGGGTATATTACTTTGGTTGCTACGGGTATACTACTTTGGTTGCTACGGGTATAGTACTTTGGTTGCTACGGGTAAAATACTTTGGTTGCTATGGGTATACTAAGATGTGCCTGATGATGGTCTCATCAGGCACATCTTGGCATGCCAATCACACAACACTGTTGTAAAAATAAGCAATGAATTCCTTTTCTCTGAAAAACAATGTGCCATTCTAGAGAACTATGCTCCACACTGAAAATGAGCAACGCCACGCTTGAAATGCTGTACAAATGCTGAGCTTCTTTGCCTTGTATTTATCGCCTTTAAATTTGTAACCAATCTTAGGGATCTGCTAGGCACAACATGTTACTAAGCACAGAAAATATTTGCTAAGCTTTTTCCAGGTTACCAGCTAAAATGCCACGGGATGTATATTTCTTGTGACTGGTGCTCGGCTAATTTTGCTCAGCATTATTTTCTGCGCCATAATTTTGCCCAGTAAAACGAAAGCAACCAAAGTTATCACTTAAGTTCAAGCAGAATCTGTGGCAGAGGTGTTATAAAACAAATATTGATTGCTTTATCTCGTGGTGAAGTAAAAGTAGCCTCCCGAGGTGATCCATGGAGCATTCTATAAAGACCTAAGCTAATAAGACTCTATGGCTAAAAGTAAAATTGCGGTAATCACAGAGATTATGTACTCTGGATAAATAAAGTACCTCAAAAGTTTAAACAGTTTTTCCCTACAGGAATATATCTCTGTATATAATTACCATTGTTATTCATTTACTAATGTGTATTTGCTGTACATGTATATGGAAATAAATGTCTATTTAAAATGAATTGAACTGAATGGAATTATAAAAATATGATTTACAGTGTGCAATGGAATAGCAGGATCATACCTTTAAGCTAACATGTTATCCATTGCTCATGAAACAGCAGTTCTGAAAGAGTCTTGCCGTTCTAAATCCAGAGGGGAATATCATCAAGAATACATGTTCCGGTAAGCACCTTTCTATTATCTGTCAAATGACGCCTGTTCTTCAAGGAACAGCAGCTGATCAATCAGGAAACAGTCACTGGGGTTCTTGACAAACCTTTTCAGCCCCTTCATGATCTCCCCCTCGTCCATAGTGGTATCGCCCGCCGACGTCTTGTCGCCGAATCGTGCCGCCTTGAGGAAGGCGTAGGCACTCTTGAAGGACTCCTTGCCAATTTTGCGCTCGCACTCACTGGGCAAAGAAGACACACAGTCAAGGAATGTAACCCGCTAAAAAATGATAACTCGAGGTATAACGCCAGGTTTACCTGGAGGTTTTACAAGGTATACAGGGTACCTCGGGGTTCAACCTCGACTTACCCAGTTGTTAAATTTGCATTCTTCCCTCACTACACTGCATTGGACCTGATGTCCTCTAAACAGACGATAACTTGAGGTATAACACAAGATTTACCTGGAGGTTTTATTTGGTTTTACAGGGTACCTCAGGGTTTAACCTCCAGTTAGCCGGTTGTAAATTTTGCATTCTTCCCTCACTACATTGTATGGGACCTGATGTCCTCTAAACAGACGATAACTTGAGGTAGAACACGAGGTTTACCTGGAGGTTTTACATGGTTTTACAGGGTACCTTGGGGTACAACCTCAACTTAGCTGGTTGTTAATTTTGCATTCTTCCCTCACTACACTGTATAGGACCTGATGTCCTCCAAACAGACGATAACTTGAGGTATAACGCCAGGTTTACCTGGAGGTTTTACAAGGTAAACAGGGTACCTCGGGGTTCAACCTTGACTTACCCGGTTGTTGAATTTGCATTCTTCCCTCACTACACTGTATGGGACCTGATGTCCTCTAAACAGACAATAACTTGAGGTACAACACGAGGTTTACCTGGAGGTTTTACAGGGTACCTCGGGGTTCAACCTCGACTTACCATGTTGTTAATTTTGCTTTCTTCCCTCACTACACTGTATGGGAAATGTCCTCTAAACAGACAATAACTTGAGGTACAACACGAGGTTTACCAGGAGGTTTTACATGGTTTTACAGGGTACCTCAGGTCAACCTCGACTTTTTGCCAGTTGTTAATTTTGCATTCTTTCCTCACTACACTGTATGAGACCTGATGTCCTCTAAACAGACGATAACTTGAGGTAGAACACGAGGTTTACCAGGAGGTTTTACATGGTTTTACAGGGTACCTCGGGGTACAACCTCGACTTACCCGATTGTTAATTTTGCATTCTTCCCTCACTGCACTGTATGGGACCTGATGTCCTTTGAAAGTTTAAAGCGCACAGAATCTGCCACTATTTCCTACAAAGTACAGGATTTTTGAGGACTTGGGAAAATTTGTGTCAAAATGCCTGGGCTGTTTATGGTGAAATTAATAATGACACTGTCAAGCTTTCCGATCTTTTATTAATTACATATTTAATGGCATTCCGGATGCTGAGAAGAGTGTAGAATTATTTAGGCTTTTATTCAAATTTTTTTTAAAGGATACGCTCTGAGATTTTTGATCTTTGTCTCTCTCATGGCTGGGGAGAAAGGACTGAGTGTGTTGTCTTTCAACGTCGCACCTTGATCTGTCAAAAAAGAGAAAGACAAATTACAAATATTCTCAGTAAATAAAACAAAAAATCTGATCCGGACAAACCAGTAGAAATATGAAATAAATTTTTAATTTATGACCAACTGCTGCAGGTAGCTAGAAATGATTTAAAAATAAATGTTTCAACCAATAAAACACTGCAAAGTCACAAGTGTGGTATCAAAAGGTTAAATATTCAACTATTCAATAATAAAATGAATATTCAAGTTCTAAGGTGGCACCTTAAAAATCTTACCTCCAGAGTCTGTGTCCAATGCACTCTGCATGCACTCCATCAATGCGTCGTATTCATCCTGTCAATAATTTAAACCAAACATGTGAGAGTTAGCGGTTGTGGGATTTGCCCAGATTTTTTCCAGATTCATTGATTTAACCAGTTCACGTCGGACAATTTGCATACACGCAAAGGTTTTGCGGTATTCGAAACGGAAGACAGATAAACACACAACGAGCGAGGCCGGAAACATCTGTCTGCGACCCACTCGCAACAAGCGAGGCCAGAAATATCAGGGTGTGCTACCCACAGATGACGGCCTGAACCCGTCTGGCATCGAGGTTCGTGAAAAACAATCCCGCGCCTGGGTCCGGTCAATCTTAAAACAATCCCGGCGCAAACTGGTTAAAAAAAAATCTTTTTCATCGTCATATTTTTTCCTTACATGAAATAACTGCAATGGACAGTTTTTAGGAGTGCCTTTTATTTAGGAAAGTCCATGTACATACACAGGCGCGACTTTTATTAATTGAAAGCCCCATTGGTTGCAGGAGCACTGAATGCGCACATGAGGGTGTCGCTACCTCCTACTTTTGATCGTTGGATCAGTGGGAAAGGTCCAGGGGTATGAACTCAACTTACGTCCATATCAGAGCCCACATCATCACCCGACTCGGAGCCCGACTCGAAGTCTTCATGCTGTGAGTAGAATGTCTCTGCTGCGTCAGCATCAGCTGGGATGGTCTCAGCGACCCTGGTCAGGACTTTGGTGGGCGATTCGGGAGATTCCTTCTTGGGCTTGGCATTGGTCCGGGAGGTTGGGGGAGCAGCCTTCTTGGTGGGCGACGTCGGTGACTTGACAGGCTTGCTGACTTGCTGGGAGGTCTTGAGCAGGGCTGGCTTGGTGCCCTTGGCCGACTTGCTCGGGGCAGTCTTGGCCTGCTGGTTGGTTGTTACAAGAAGGGGACAAATTACGCTTAGCTGATTTGGGGAGATTGACCCTTACACTAAATTCTGCTTTCAGAATTCCAAATCAGGCTTACATTTTAATCAATTCTTCAAGGCTTTTGAAAACAAGAAATATACGCAGAACATGGGCGTCGCGAGGGGGGGGGGGCAAGGGGGGCACTTGCTCCCCCCTGGAAAAGCAAAAAAAATAACAAAAAAAAAAAAAAAGGAAGAAAAAAAAAGAAAAAAAGAAAAAAAAAAGAGGCGCGAAGACAAAGTGGTGTAAATTTAATGAGTGTGGGGGGGGGGGGGGGGGGGAAATGTCCCTGCCCACATCTAAAACTGATAAATTGAGAATGTGTTGAGAAATACAAGCATTTTTTGGCAAAAAAAATGTTTGCCCCCCTCTAGAAAAAATCGTGGCGACGCCTATGACGCAGAAATGTGATGCACATTACAGAAAAGCTTCCCTTTAGCACGTAAAAATAATAATACTCCACTCAAAGTGTATCACATAATTTTTTGTTCTTACATTTTTTCACTGGGCCGTGTATATATATTTTTTTGCGCCCCATTCTTCAATGGTTTTTGGTGATAGGAAAAGTCAGTGTTGCTATTGTAGTATGCAAAGATCGTATAGTGCCGCTCGCAGTAGCAAGCCTTCAAAGTTGTGATGGACGGCAAAACTGTGAGAAAAACGCAGAGCTAACACCCAGTTCTGGGTCGGCACAATTATAACAACTGTACACGGAACATTTGATGCCATTTGATGAAGAATTCGCTGCTAATTTACATGAAAATAAGCCCTACTGTCTAGTTTCAATGCACGACATGCTTGCTAAGGGCAGAAGGCAAATAGGGCAGAAGGCCGCGGCGCAGTGCGGCGCTTATTTTCGAGCTAGGTATTTTCTCTTTACCCCCGGCGCTGCGCGGTGCTCAGACATGTCAGACCAGACCTCAGCTCATTAACTTTCGCTATTGCGCTTGTCCAATTGTTATGTTAATGAGCGAGGTCCGTGGAGAAGTTTTGGTCCACACACGAGGCGGGCCGCGGCGCGCCGTTGAGCCATAAAATGCCCCCATTACGTGGATGCGATGGACAAAGACCGAGTTCGGTTTATAAAGCTATGTAGTTTTGGGCCGTAAATGTAACCACGCAAAATTAGTTAATTTCAATCCGTGCTAATGAGTATCAACATGACTCTTAAATATATAAAAGGTATCCTGATACAAGAAAAATACACCCCCATTATTAAAAAGAATTCAGAACTTTGCGTTCATTTGGATGGGGAAAAAAACGAATTCTCAACTCGCGCTTTTCATATCGACCGATTGCGCCAAACATTTTCAGCAAAATTATAAATAAAAAGGACACAGACTAGTATTCTCGTACCCAGAAAGCTCAGACTTTTATTAAAACAGTGGTACAAAAAGAAAGGATTAAAATCCCTCCGCACCTTTCCGCAAAGCATTTTTAAAGGTTGGGGTACAGAGGCGATACGAGAGAATTTGTACAACGGCGATGCTCACTGCACTATGTTACACTGCAACCAGACTAATATACTACTACATGTTGTTGTACGCGGATGGCATCGGTGCCAGACTTACGTGTAGTCTGGCAGGCGGTAACAGTAATAACGCGTGTGCGCATGTCCCGAGTTGATGCGTTGTGTGGAGCGGAATCGGCCGTTGCCAGACGTTGTCTCGCACGTACGTGGCAGTGAGTGGAAACAGTGCTCCGTGTTACTATACTTTTCCCGTGCTTAACGGCGGGCCATCTGATATTGGGCCCAATTTCACGGCGCTGCTTAACAGTTAGCAGAAAAAGCGTGTTTAGCATAGCAGAAAAATTTGCTATTATATAACCGACATACAGATCCTTGTCATTTGATTGGTGGAACTCACGTCACGTGACATTCGTTATTGCTCCCATTCACGCCGCGGCTCAAAAAGTACTATCCGCCCGTGGGGAATGGGAAATACTATAGACCGCTTGCAGATGCGTTCGATAATTGACGCGCGAAGGTGCGCGACGCCATGTTGTGGGACAAAATGTACATGGATAGATATGCGCTTGACCCACAACATGGCGTCGCGCGCCTTCGCGCGTCGATTATCGAACGCGTCTGCAAGCGGTCTATTCAACAGTTAGGATTTGGTTAGGATCATGACGCGGTATGTGTGCAAATGCATGCTGATGTGCGCGTTCAGCGTTGCGCGTAGCGCGTATTGTTCCGAAGAGCCTGCGCTACAGCGTTGGGTTCAAACATTATCGTGAAGGGGCGGTTTGGAAGAGAGAAATACATTTTCCTCCAGTTTTGTATTGAAAAAAAGTTCAGATAGATCAAATGACAAGGATCTATATGTCAGTTATATAAAACAAATATTGAGTGGCTTTAAATTGTGAAATGGGAGGAATATTATCGCTCGGTAAAATCTGGACTTTTCCAGTGCACTCGGCTTCGCCTCGTGAAATGGAAAAGTCCAGATTTTACCTTGCGATAATATTCCTCCCATTCCACGCTGAGCCACTCAATATTTGTATATTATATAACTGACATACAGATCCTAGTCATTTGATTGGTGGAACTCACATCACGTGGCATTCGTTATTGCTCCCATTGCCACGGCTCAAAAAGTACTATCCGCCCATGGGGAATGGGAAATACTATTTCACGGCGTGTGTGTGCTAACGGTCGCGCGCGCATGGAGATTTATATTGATACGTCACTAAGTTAAGCAAATTTTTTCTCTGAAGTAAGCGTGCCTTTTGCTGTGCTTATCCTTACGGTCTAGCAGAAAATCGTGTGCTTAGCAGCGCCGTGAAATTGGGCCCTGTCTCATCGCGGTGTTTGCTCGATCGGCGCGCGCCTGGACAGTGCGAAGCCTCCGGGGGAAAAAAACGTAACTTTTTTGTTATGAGTGGTCAAAACCTGCTTCAAAAATCAACTTATTATTTATTTGATGGGGATTCCTATGATATCAAACACTTCGATAGGTTTCGAAAATATGATTTATAAAACATGCTAAAAGTAAATGTAGGCCTACATCATACAAAATTGAAACTCCGAATTTGGCCATAAAGGTTGTTGTTTCTCCAAAATGCAAACACCTATGATGCTGATTCAAACGTCATTGATTTTGTTGTGTTATTCTCTTTTTAGTGATACAAAACATGAGATTTTTTACTTTAAAAAAATTCAATCCGCTGTACATGTACATTATTCATAGTGAATTGAACAAACGCCAGGATGTGAGTGAGGATACAAGGAAGGGAGGATGGGGTGCCGTCACGATCACGCTTGATTCCACTCCTTGAACGCGTTGCTGTCACATAGTTCGTGGAAAGTTGTCGTTCAATTTTTGGGGACACTGATGATAGGTGCATCATAACGGCTAGAAAATTGAGTAGATTCATCCCTCAGTCCTGAAGAACTCATAGGCTTATAGCTGTTACTGGACATACTAAGAAATATTGTTATTCTCTCTATGCCACATTATTTCATGAATTTAATGCATGTTTAAAATGACAGACCAAATCGCCAAAATACGGTTCATACAATGTACATGTATTGACATCAGCGTCTTACTGTTAATATCATATTTAACAATATAAAAGCTGTGCTACCCTTTGTAATTGACATAATTCCTCTTATTCAACCTTTTGTGCAGATTTCTGTTTAGTATTTACTCCTGGTTTGTGATTGTAACCAATAGGCTAGAATTGTTAAACTTTTGAAATTACGATAATGAAAATGTACACTTGTAATGACCGCCACTTATCCTGTAACATTTGTTTCATGTAAAAGGTTGTTTGGATAAAGAACTTTGTATTTAAAGCATTTTGGAGCCGTTTAAGAATTCAATTCTGCAAAACTACTGATAATAGTTATTGATCACTTAAATTTAATTCTTTTAAAAATGTACACTGTCCTCAGCAGCAGATTAAAATAAGTATTTCCTCTTAAGACCAAACACTGGCTAGAAGCTTCAACGTTGATGGTCAAATTTTAATGCTGGCATCAAGGGAGATCCCGTAGAAAGGTTTGCAATCCTAAAATAGAAAAGAAAAAAGGTAAGTCTTAACAAAGGATATATATTACATTTTATAAAGCCAAGAGAAAAAAATGAAGAATCTTATTCAACCCGGACACCTAATTAATCGGTATTAATTTTTCATGAACCTACTCTACTTCATTTATTTCATTTAAACTCACAATTGCCAAAAGTGAAGAGTTCACCTCGGCCTCGCTTTCTGTTTAATATGACCGACTCATGAATAAGGCCTTTGATCATTCACCTGGACATTTCTTGAATTAAAAAACAAAATATAAGGCCAAAAAAACCAAGCCATGCGCATGGATTGAGTCCAGAGAATTGGACATGCAAAATTCTCAATCTAAATGAATTCCAGATATTCTGTTATAACTCAAGTCAACTACATGTACGTACTTACCAAACATCCATATCAAAACACAAGCATCAGCAAAGCATTATCTGCAACTCTAAGCATATAAAAAAAACCGATTAAACTTTGATTAAACAATAATAAAAAAATACCCTCAGAAAAGGAACACTGCATGACAGGAAAACAACACAAAAACATTCCCTAAGTTGTTCTCCTGATTGAGCCTGTATGAAAATCATGTAATTAGTCGGGCAGCCAGACTCAAAAGGTTTGTCCCCCGATTGGGGTACAGTCTCCCATTTGGGAGACGGCGCTAGTGCGCCCGCACTGTTGGCTGCACAATCTCGCTGAGTGTAGGCTATGTAGTATGGGAACGTAGCAGCGGTAGTGCTTTACAGCCGCATGTACATCTGATCCCGTGCACCAGGCCCAGTGATGGGCAACCTCGTCCCCAGGGTGTCGAGCAGTACGCGCCCACAACTACCTGCTCTCTCACCCTGGTATTGGATCATTTGCATGTGCAAGATTTTTGCACACGTATGCAAATGAGGAACAGTCTGGTGCCTGGATATGCGTTACACATTAG